AGGTTCACTCGTCTGGCTGCATGTTCCCTCTGCTACACCTGGCCTTTCTACCAAGTTGGTCCCCAAGTATCACGGCCCATATCGTGTGCTACAAAAAACGTCACCGGTGAATTACCTCATCGAGCCACTGGAACCATCTTCTGACCAACGTCGTCGTGGCCAGGAAATTGTCCACGTCTCGAGACTTAAGCCCTGCTACGACCCTCCCGTGTTTACTTGTCCATAGGTCGCCAGGATGGCTCCTTATTTCGCGGGGAGTAATTGTAATGAATTAATGAATCTGAGTAGCGGACGCTCTGCGGGCAACGAAGAAGACGATGATGATCGATGGCTGCAGGAGTAGCTCGCGCACGCCGCTCGCCATTAGCCAGACCTGCCTGATAAAGGACATTTTGCCAAGCTGCGTCTGAACCTTTCTCGACGTACAACACCTCTATTTTAATATATATATATATATATATATATATATATATATATATATATATATATATATATATAGATATATATAGACGGTGAAACTGATTGCTGGCCACAACACAGAAACAGATGCAGAGATTCCGTACACGACGCTACACGGCTACACGCAGTTTCCAGACGCAACAGCGACTCGGGTAGCCCTCGCCAACCTGGATACTCTCTCGAACGCCGTGCTCTCGCGAGCCTTGGCTGCTGATTCTTCCTTCTTCCGTCGTCGCTGCCACTACGTGTTCTTTGTTCCCGCTAAGTGCCGCATTTGTTTTTGCTCTTACCTTCCTCCTCTTTCCTTTCTCACCACAAAATGCCTCCTTACATATGTGCTATGAACAGAGGAAAACTTTAAAAGGTACCGCGCATGTTGGTTGGTAAGGGTGAGCCCCTCATCAAAATGATGTACCAGTCTGGTTTGAAGTCAAGTTCTTCGTAATTGTTTTTAGCTGGAGAGCCAAACGTATTAAGTGCATACTGCTTTATTACACGTAAAAACAATTTCCTCTCCTTGGAATTGCAGTGAAAGTAACTTTCATGCTTTAAAAAGACATGATTACTATGTGCATGCCACAGAATACATGTAACATCGCAGTAATAATGCAAGGTACAGGCGTGCATTGTCATGATGAGTAGTTGTTTTTCAGTACTGGAGTGTCACCCACAAAAGCTTTTTTTATTGCGATAGCAATTGCATGGACATTCTTGCCTGGATTGGGCCACCGGCGTTGGCGTTGATGTCATAATGTGATGCAACGTATATGTATACGTATTCATTTATATATGAAAAGCAAGAAAGACAAATTGGCAGATCCCACGTACAGCGGGAACCTATGATATGCAAAGCACGATGAGGAAGGTTGATATGTCACTTCAAAATGAGCAGAACGTTACGAGGCGGAGGTAAATTTGGCCGTACATTACTTCCTTGTCATAGTTATCATGTTTAAACATGTCATTTACCTTTATCATCTATTCATGTCACCTGATACTGAAATTAGTACATTTGGAGCTAGCGAAACGGCCACAAGCGCATCATAAATGGCCCAATACATTCCGACGGAACGTTGACGCACCTGCACGCTGGGCACAGCAACGCTGCGCAAGCAACGCGAGCTCTTTATAATCTGATGCCAGGCGTGACTGGCACTACCAGCGTTTGTCGGCGCGGCTAGGCGGCCACCGGCGCGAAACGCGCCAGTGCATTTCGGGCTGATGACCTTGCCCAGATAGCACTGCGTCTGCCTCTATTCGGGACGGAGAAATGCCCGCCGCGCTCACGCACTCATGCGTCTAAGCAACGCAGCGCGAAGCACGCCTGCGAGTATACAGCAGGCATATCGGCGCCTGGCGTGGCATCGCCGTCGTGACGCGATGAAACGAACACCGTAGCGCACGCGTGCCTGGTCCCGTCGAAGCGTGTTGGTGCCTTGAGTAAGGCAAGTAGTCATGTTCTTACATGACACGCATCTCAGGACAATCATGCACCAGTCACATACCTTCGTCATCCATTCACGTTGCGTAGTACCAAACTCGGTATATGTGAAGCTACACAAAGACTGCGAGCGCATCATCAGCGTGGCATGTAGTCATGTTGTTACATGACGCGAACTCGATGATTATCATCTTTGCACCAGTCATATACCTTAGTCATTAATGCACGCCTCGTATTACTATATTCGGTATGTGTGAAGCCAGCGAAACAACCGCAAGCGCACCATGAGCGTGACATGTAGTCACGTTTCATGACCTACATAATATGCATATGAAGATTTCTACGTTAGGGTATGTTGTTTGGGTTCACCATGCAGTCATGTCATGTGATACCACTTTTGCAACGTGTCATGTGAACGATCGCGAGAGCTGCAAGATCATGAAATGGAAATCATTACTTTCGTTTTATACATGTTATGATAATTATGGGACGACTAGTCAAATATGTTCTCCATACATTCATGTCATCCCATACCAAGTTTGGTATCGATACCATTATTGAAACGGCCCGGAGAGCTAAAAGTTGTACACGGCTAGATAGATAGATACGCTCAAAGTCGCCGAAGTTTGCTAAGAAATGCTTCGCATTTAAAAAAAAATATTACAAAAAACACTCCGGCGCATAGAATCGAACGTGGGACCTCTGTATGAGTGAGGCGTCCAACACTAAGCCACCCCGGAGCGCATCCATTACCGGGCAAACGGCAAGCTACTTGTATCTACCACTTACCGCTTCTCACGAGCGTCTCGGGGGAGAATTGTGCATTCAGCATAACCAGCAAGATGGTGCAGTGAGCGCGCGTCGCCGCATAGCGCCGCGGCACCCGCTCTGAACTCCTACGCATACTTTGCCAGGCTTACAGAAAGGGAGCGACGCTCTCTCAAGCGCCCTTATCTCGCGGCGGTGAGGAGGGGAACATGGTACGCCTTGGATGGCTTCGGGAATCACATGGAACGATTCTGTTGTAGTTACCGGGTGCACAAAGGCCACTGCAGTCATTGCAGTTTTCGTTTCCGAAAAGCGCGCGCTTTTCAGACACAGCATAGGAGACGCTTATTCGCGTGCATCCGTACTTGTGAGTACGTTTTGTGCGTCATTTGTGCGTGAGGAATGCGGGGCATGTTTCGATATGCTTTCCGTTCTGCGCGTGACCTTTCAGTTTGTTGCTATCGTGTTTATTGCTTCGCCTTCCCGGCAAAGCCATGACTGTTTCTGTTTTATGAACGTGAATAATTTAGTTTTTTGAGAGCTTTTTCAAGCGCTAGTATTGATGCTACAGCCCTCCAAGTCACGTGAGTATATTCGACGTGCTTTACCGCCGATCGGTTTTTCGGTAGCTGATGATCTTTCGGCATTATCACTTTGTGAGGTTGTTCTGTAGATTTAGTTTGCGTACCCGGTAACTAGTTTGCCAAAAAAATCACAAAATATTCATGTAGTGATTGGTGTCAAGTGAGGTGAAGCGTCCGTCCATCCACGCTTCTGTCCGTGCGCCCGTCTGTCCGTCCATCTATGCTTCTGTCTGTTCGTTCGTCCACGCGTACGCCCAAACGTTGGTCAGTCCGTGCGTGCCTCCATCCAGAAAGACAGAGGGGAAGACGGACGGACGGATGGAATCAAGAATGAATGGTTGGATTAACCGACGAAATCATGGAGGGATGAACGAACAGAGGCACGGACGTACGAACAGACGGACGCATGAATAAATTGAAGCACGGACGGGCAGACAGACGGACGGAAGCATGGACGGATGAACGAATGCAAGCACGGACAAACAGATAGACGGGTGGACAGAAGCATGGACACTTCGGATGCGGAGGCATGGACGGACGGATGGATGGAAGCATACATGGACAGATGAATGGACGAATGGACCGACGGAGAGAAATACGAACACACGGCAGAAGATGGCAGCATGGACAGATTGACGAATGGGCGAATGCACGGACGGTTGGACAGGCAGATGGATGTACGGATGCTTCGCCCCCCTCATCATCATTCACTCCGAGTATATTCTGCGAAAACAACTAATGCCATCTAGTTATACATCTAGTTATTTTCAAGAGCATATATATACAATGCCATCTATTGGGCAAGTCATAACTAGAGGTGGCTGCGTGCTACAAACGCACGAGGGAACAACCCACAAACTAAGGAGCTTCGCCCCAAAAAACGTTTCATCTTCGATACGCCGACTGCTGCCTCAGTGAACGTTATGAGCTCGTTACAGTATCATGTTCTTCCTTGACGCCATCTAGTTATACATCTAGTTATTTCCAAGAGCATATATATACAATGCCATATATTGGGCAAGTAATAACTAGAGGTGGCTGCGTGCTACAAACGCACGAGGGAACAACCCACAAACTAAGGAGCTTCGCCCCAAAAAACGTTTCATCTTCGATACGCCGACTGCTGCCTCAGTGAACGTTATGAGCTCGTTACAGTATCATGTTCTGCCTTGACCTTTCTCTAGGTTTTATGGCTTCTCTGTGAACTACAGTTGTTTGTAGATGTGTTTAGCTTCAATATCTCGCTGAAGTGTTCAATTGAAGATTTTGCTAGCTCTCATTGAATTTATCAAAGTGATCTTCGCGCTTCGTTTCCGTATAGGGTCTTTGCTGCTACTGCTTTTTTTTTTCAAGAGATGAGTGTGTACGTTCCGTACGTCAACAGAATTTCTTATGTTGACGAGATTGAACATTTATAATAATTATGAGATAACCTACAGTGTACTTAGTGTAAACCGAGTATTCGGTACTTCACGTTTTTTTAAGAATTTTTACGCTGAGCCTTTTCTATGTTCAGCAAAACTTTATTGTACTGGGGTTAGTGCAATCGCACTGCTATGTATTAATTTTTTGTTGGTGTTTAACAATGAGGCGCTCAACTACATATTTTCCTATAAATAACACTAGGAAAACCGCAAAACTGTTCTAAGGCATAATTAACTTTTCTTCACTTCTGCCCGCATAGAAGCATATAAGGGTAATACAATGTCCTACCAAATACGATTGGGTAATTAAAGAAAAGCACTCACTTCATTGATGCATTGTGAAGTTCTAGCAGTTGTTGTGTGAAGGATTTGCCGTCATGCTGCAAACAAATAAGGAGTTTTGTGAGCAACGCTGCTGACAATATATATATATATATATATATATATATATATAAGAGAACGAAGGGTATACCTAAGGGCTAGTTTTTCCGTGTTTTAACACAATAATAATGAGATCTAACAGACAGTAATGCCAAGGAATGTACAGGGGAAGTTATTAGAACCAATGGAATGTAAATAAGAAGAAAGAAAAGTAGATGAAAAAATAACCAGCCGTGAGCAGGAAGCAAACCTGCGACCTTTGAATAACGCGTTCGATGCTCTATCTACTGAGCTACCACAGCGGCCTTTCCTGCATCCACTTTTTTGGGTTTATATGCGAATTTAGAAGTAGGAGTGACAGCCAGCGCCATCTATAAGCCAAGCGACGAGTGTGAAAACACTCTTTTATGCGCATGTTTGGCGTCACGTAGCACGTGAACTGATAATGAGCGGGCAGCTGATTAACAGTCCCTCGTATACAACCTAATGACACCAAGTCTGCTAGTACGAGACGCTCGTTTAATGAAATAAGGGAACGAAGTGTATACCTAACAGCTCGTTTTTCCGTGTTTTAACACAATAATAATGAGATCTAACGGACAATATGCCAAGAAATGTACAGGAATAATATATATATATATATATATATATATATATATATATATATATATATATATATCGTCACGAACAAAACCACACAAAACATTGGATTGGCACATGTTAATTTACATCTTATTCCTGTGCCGTCGTCGGCACGGGAGTAAAACCCCTTGTCATTGTCTTCTTTGATCAACCCTCGTGCTGTCCTCAAATGTGTCACTACCGTGACATTATTCCTGTCCGACTTGAGCATCGTGCCGGTGCCAATGCACGACAGGAGGGAGACTCCGAAAAGGAGACAAACCGATTAGTGACGTTTTCAGGTACGGCTTGAAACGAGACACGCGAACGACTTCCGACTGGCGCGGGCGTATAGGTGCTTCACCTTCAAGAATTACTTCGTAGGTAACATCGCTCAGCCGTTGTACGATCTTATAAAGGCCAAAGTTGCGGCGCGAAAGTTTCTCTAAGTGACCACGCTGGCGACTGGGGTCCACACCTCTACTTTGTCACTTGGTTGGAACGAGACGTCTCGATGGTGTAGGCTATAAAGCGGGCGACGTTGTGTTGCTGATAGCTGATACGTATTCGTGTGAGCTGGTGCGCTTACTTTGCATGTCTAGTTAATTCAGCAACATCACTGCCAACATTGCAACAGTCAGTGGGTAACAGCCTCGCATCCAAAATTGTTACAGCTTCCCGGCCACGCAGCGAGTGGAAAAGGGTGAAGCCGGTGGTTTCTAGGATGGCGGTATTATCCGCAAATGTAAGGTATGGAAAAACGTCATCCCAGCTTTCGTAGTCAATATCAGCGTGCATGGAAATCACACCTACTAACATTTTGTTTAGTCGCTCTGTGAGCCCAATTTTCAGGGGATTGTGATCATTGACTTCACGGTGAGTGGTACTACTGAGCTGAATATCTTCGGTAAGCTGTGCTGTATATACCGTGCCCCTATCAGTTATTACCCCTGTCGAAGCACAATGGCGGAGTACGATGCTATGTACAAAGAAGGTGGCAATATTGGTAGCTGTGCCTTGTGGGAGAGCTTTAAATTCAATGTATCTCTTGAAGTAATAAGTGGCGACAGCATTCTAGCGATTACCTGCTCTGGACATGGGGAATGGTCCGAGATAACTTATGCCAACTTGCTGAAAAGAAGTCGATGGAGAATAAATGGGATCTAGAAATCCAGCAGGACACATGGGTGGTGTATTGCGTCGTCAGCAGTTGTGGCGTGTTTTGACATACTGCTTGACGTAAGTGCGAAAGTTGGGTCAGAAGTACCTCCGGCGTATACGCGAAAGCGTCCCTGTGAAGCCCAAACAGCCCCATGATGGCTTGTCACGAGAGACGCGCAAAATATCTTCACGCAGTATGAACGGCACAACAAGGAGTGAAGAGGCCGTGGTCGAGTGGGAAGTTAATTTATAGAGGACACAATGGCGAAGGCAATACGATCGTAATGTAGGTGTGAACGTACGAGGTGGTTCCGATAAATGGCTCCCGAAATAGTCGATGATGGGCCGTATCTCTGAGTCGTCACGTTGTTGCTTGCTCTTGTCGGACGCCATGAGCACGGAAAGGAATGCACCTTCTTCATAAACGTCAACTTGAGAATGCTCAAGTGGAACACGTGACAAACAGTCGGCGTTCGTGTGCTTACGCCCCGACTTGAACGTGACCATAATGTCGTGCTCTTTTAAGCGAAGACTTCATCGTACAAGACGGCGAGATGAATCCTTCAGATTGGCTAGCCATCACTGGGAATGGCAGTCTAGTCACGACACAAAATGGTCGGCCAAACAGATATGGTCGGAACTCAGCAATGGCCCATACCACTGCCAAGCATTTTTTCTTTGTAGTAGAATAGATTTTTTCAGCTTGTGACAAATCAATACTAGCGTAAGCGATAACGCGCTCAGCCCCAGCTTGCCACTGTACGAGAACGGCATCATGACCAAAGTTGTTTGCATCCATATGTAGCTCAGAGTTGCCGTATTTGTCAAAGTGCATCAGAATGGGTGGTGTTTGCAAACGGTTTCCTAATTCCGGAAAGGCGCGCTCTTATTCCTGTTTCCGATTGAATAGAACCTTGAACTTTGAAAGCCGTTGGAGAGGTTCGGCTATTCTTGGAAAATTTGCACTGAAACATCTGTAATACACCCAAAGTTCCAGAAACAGCCGGTGCTCGTGTTTGTTTGTAGCTGTTGGAAAAGAAGCAACGGCAAATGTCTTGTGAGGGTCTGGTCGAAATCCGTCAGAACTGAAGATGGCCTGAAAATTCAAGCTGATGATATCCGGAATGGCACTTTTCAGGTTCGAAAGACAAACCAGCACTGCGAATTGCGTTGACGATGGCTTTAAGGCGTCCGAGATGCTGGTGGAAGGTTTCACAAAAGACTAATTTGTCATCTAAATAGACGAGCCACGACTACCACTTCAAAGGACTATGTCCATCATGTACTGAAAAGTAGCAGGAGCAAAGCACACACTCCAAGGCAAAGTGATGTTAAGGGGGTGTGTCGTTCCTTCTTTTGGGGACTGCGTGTGTCCTAGTTGTCTAGCTACAGTGATTCATACTTTAGGTCCCCAGTCATGAACAATGCTATCTTTTCCCTGTGAACTTTTTTGACGCTTTGGTGAAACTTACTAAAAAACCAAGGTTTAAAACGGTGTTGAGCATGAAGATATGATGGATATTATGGAAGGCTTTCTCCATGTCTAGTGCCAGTAATGCTGTCGTGTCCCTTGTCTTTTGACTGATTGCATGGTTTTGAGTTGGAGCGTGGCAACTTGCATAAACAAACCTTGTCTGTAATCTATCATCGTATGAGAGTAAACGTCGTGCTCTTCCACGCGTCTAGATAATATAGTGAGTGTCACATGTTCAGCAACCTTTCCAGTGTACAATCTGAGTGGAATCGGTTGAAGATTCTCGAGGCAAGGGGGTTTGCCTAGTTTCAGAATTGATGCTGGCGAGTAAATCTTGTGGTTTAACGTTCCAAAACCACCTTATGAATATGAGAGACGTCATAGTGGAGGGCTCCGAAAATTTCTATCACCTAAGGTTTTTTAACGTGCACCCAAATCTGAGCACACGGGTCAACAGCATTTTCATCTTCATCGAAGATGCAGCCACCACAGCCAGGATTCCATTCTACGGACTGTGGGTCAGCGGCCGAGTACCTTAGTGAACAGACAACCACAGTGAGGCCTCGTTTTGAAATTTAAATGGCCAGAGCGGCCTTTTATTCACTACCAACTTCACAATTGTTGCAAATATAATTAGTTAACTGCGGAAAATATTCTGCAGAGTCATGTTCCAAACACGTGGCATCTTGTTTGTTTTCCTGCGCAACAAATGTTTCAGCTTATGTTTGTATAATTTTTTGGGGGATGGGTGTTTGTAAGGTTTTTTTTGTAAATTATTTTGGACGTTTTTTTGCGTTCAAATTACACATGTGCGTCTACCTGTTTAAAGGCTGACTATACGTTTCCTCGTTTGTGTATGACGCTTTGTAGTCCTTCGTGTGTAGGAAAGAAAAGCTTGATTTCACTGCAGTTCGAGTTGAAATAAATTCGTATATGTTCCCAAATATACATGGCTTGAAGTTCGCGCTCAAGTTGGCTTCGTCTCTTCCTGTCTTTTGCTTATTTCTTGTGCGAAGAATTCAAATTTACTCAACCCACTTTTGCTCGGAAAGGGTTTTGCAATGCTCTCCTGTCGCTCAATTCATTTCGGCTGTTTTCTTTCCCAGCCTATGGCTTAGCCTCTTGGGCTTTCGCTGTTTAAGTAGTTATTATTTAGCATCTATGAATAGGGCCAGTCGGTGGCCCATCGTTTCAACCAGGAAATCCGTGAGCGCTTTTTCAGAAGTGGCACCAACGTCCTCCCTCAGCTGCGAAGTCTATTCTTACACGTTCACTTTTCCAATCCTCCTTTCCATTTCTGCAATTCCTCCTTCCTTTTCTGCTTTTACTAAATTTACCCTAGCGTGGGGCCTGAAATTTTTTGTGCCCTCTTTTTGCCTATGTACAGGTCAGTATTATATTGATACGTGTATCTTCCCCGTAACAATATTATGATCACTAGTGAAGTCTTTTTTCAACTTAGCCCATGTGGGCTCCGCAGCTTTGTGCACAAAATGGAGGTCCAGAGTTGTGTGTCGATGTGACAATGTGCCACATATAGTCAAGAAGGCTGTGTCTGTGATGAGCACTGACTCCACGTTTGTCGCTTCTCGCCAAAGGCTCTCCCATTTTTTGTATTGTAATGGTAAACCTATGCCTGGTAGGGAGCGTTGAAGTCTACAGCAACAATTAGTGAAGAGTCTCGAGCTAGTGTTACGGCTTTCGTAAGTAGGGAGTTGAATGTTTGCTTCATTCTTGTTGGTG